TCCTTAACAAAATTCTAGCAAATAGAATCCAACAACATATTAAAAAAATCATACACCATGACCAAGTGGGCTTTATCCCAGGAATGCAAGGATTCTTTAATATCCGCAGATCAATCAATGTAATACACCACATTAACAAATTGAAAGATAAAAACCATATGATTATCTCAATAGATGCAGAGAAAGCCTTTGACAAAATTCAACACCCACTTATGATTAAAACTCTCCAGAAAGCAGGAATAGAAGGAACATACCTCAATATAATAAAAGCTATATATGACAAACCCACAGGAAGCATTACCCTCAGTGGTGAAAAATTGAAAGCATTTCCCCTGAAATCAGGAACAAGACAAGGGTGCCCACTTGCACCACTACTATTCATAGTTTTGGAAGTTTTGGCCACAGCAATCAGAGCAGAAAAAGAAGTAAAAGGAATCCAGATAGGAGAAGAAGAAGTGAAACTCTCGCTGTTTGCAGATGACATGATCCTCTACATAGAAAACCCTAAAGACTCTACCAGAAAATTACTAGAGCTAATCAACGAACATAGTAAAGTTGCAGGATATAAAATTAACACACAGAAATCCCTTGCATTCCTATACACTAACAATGAGAAAACAGAAAGAGAAATTAAGGAAACAATACCATTCACCATTGCAACAAAAAGAATAAAATACTTAGGAGTATATCTACCTAAAGAAACAAAAGACCTATACATAGAAAACTATAAAACACTGATGAAAGAAATCAAAGAGGACACAAATAGATGGAGAAACATACCGTGTTCATGGATTGGAAGAATCAATCTTGTCAAAATGGCTATACTACCCAAAGCAATTTATAGATTCAGTGCAATCCCTATTAAGCTACCAACGGTATTTTTCACAGAACTAGAACAAATAATCTCACAATTTGTATGGAAATACAAAAAACCTCGAATAGCCAAAGTAACCTTGAGAAAGAAGAATGGAACTGGAGGAATCAACCTGCCTGACTTCAGACTATACTACAAAGCCACAGTCATCAAGACAGTATGGTACTGGCACAAAGACAGAAATATAGATCAATGGAACAGAATAGAAAGCCCAGAGATAAATCCACGAACCTATGGACAATTTATCTTTGACAAAGGAGGCAAGGATATACAATGGAAAAAAGACAACCTCTTTAACAAGTGGTGCTGGGAAAACTGGTCAACCACCTGTAAAAGAATGAAACTAGAACACTTTCTAACACCATACACAAAAATAAACTCAAAACGGATTGAAGATCTAAATGTAAGACCAGAAACTATAAAACTCCTAGAGGAGAACATAGGCAAAACACTCTCTGACATAAATCACAGCAGGATCCTCTATGACCCACATCCCAGAATATTGGAAATAAAAGCAAAAATAAACAAATGGGACCTAATGAAACTTAAAAGCTTTTGCACAACAAAGGAAACTATAAGTAAGGTGAAAAGACAGCCCTCAGATTGGGAGAAAATAATAGCAAATGAAGCAACAGACAAAGGATTAATCTCAAAAATATACAAGCAACTCCTCCAGCTCAATTCCAGAAAAATAAATGACCCAATCAAAAAATGGGCCAAAGAACTAAACAGACATTTCTCCAAAGAAGACATACAGATGGCTAACAAACACATGAAAAGATGCTCAACATCACTCATTATCAGAGAAATGCAAATCAAAACCACAATGAGGTACCATTACACGCCAGTCAGGATGGCTGCTCTCCAAAAGTCTACAAGCAATAAATGCTGGAGAGGGTGTAGAGAAAAGGGAACCCTCTTACACTGTTGGTGGGAATGCAAACTAGTACAGCCACTATGGAGAACAGTGTGGAGATTTCTTAAAAAACTGGAAATAGAACTGCCATATGACCCAGCAATACCACTTCTAGGCATACGCACTGAGGAAACCAGATCTGAAAGAGACACGTGCACCCCAATGTTCATCGCAGCACTGTTTATAATAGCCAGGACATGGAAGCAACCTAGATGCCCATCAGCAGATGAATGGATAAGGAAGCTGTGGTACATATACACCATGGATTATTACTCAGCCATTAAAAAGAATTCATTTGAATCAGTTCTAATGAGATGGATGAAACTGGAGCCCATTATACAGAGTGAAGTAAGCCAGAAAGATAAAGACCATTACAGCATACTAACACATATATGTGGAATTTAGAAAGATGGTAATGATAACGCTATATGCAAAACAGAAAAAGAGACACAGATGTACAGAACAGACTTTTGGACTCTGTGGGAGAAGGCGAGGGTGGGATGTTTCGAGAGAACAGCATGTATATTATCTATAGTGAAACAGATCACCAGCCCAGGTGGGATGCGAGACAAGTGCTCGGGCCTGGTGCACTGGGAAGACCCAGAGGAATCGGGTGGAGGGGGAGGTGGGAAGGGGGATCGGGATCGGGAATACATGTAACTCTATGGCTGATTTATGTCAATGTATGACAAAACCCACTGCAATGTTGTGAAGTAATTAGCCTCCAACTAATAAAAATAAATGGAGAAAAAAAAAAGTACAGTAGGACCCCTACCTCTTATCATATGTAAAAATCAACTCAAAATGAGTCAATGGCCTAAAACAAGAGTAAACTATTAAAGTCTTAGAAGAAAACATAGGAGTAAATCTTCACTTCAAAGGAATGATCTTGGATTTGGCAATGGATTCTTAGATATGACACCAAAGCACAGGAGACAAAAGAAAACATAGATAAAATGACTTTGTATAGTATATACATACTACGGAATGTTATTCAACCATGAAAAAAGAATTAAGTACTGATACATGCTACAGCATGGACGAACCTGGAAAGCATTATACTAAATGAAAGAACCCAGATATGAAAGGTCATGTATTGTATGACTGTATTTATATCAAATATCCATAGTAAATAAATCCATAGAGACAGAAAGCAAGCTGATAGTCATCAGAAACTGGGGGAGGGGAAAATGGGAGTGACTACTTTATGGGTGCAGGGTTTTCTTTTGGGTGGTGAAAGTATTTTAGAATTAGATAGAGGGGGTAGTTGTACAACATTATGAATGTACTAAACACCGCTGAATTGCACATTTTAGAATGGTTCCTTTTATGATATGTGAATTTCACCATTAAAAAAAGTAAAATGGGGAAGGAATATGATAGCTGCTTAAAAATGAGAAAGGCTATTATACAAAGAGATTTTTTTCTGGGTATTTCCATAGAGCAAAACTGGGGGAAGTTACAGGACAACTTTGACATAACGCGGAAGAACTTTCCAACAATAGTGTTGTTAAACAGTGGAATGGGCAGCCTCCCAAGGAAGTTAAATTAAGTTTTACTGAAAGTGATCAAGTTAGATGAGCTCTCAGGGAAGTTATAGAGAAGATTCTTACTTGAGGTGTGACTAAAGCTTTTTTAGTTTAATTATTTTCAAGACCTATCTGCTATCTTCCCTCCACATCTGCAACTAGGTTGATTCAGTTTGACCGTAAGCAATTTGCAAATGAACTCCCTGAGTTCAAGTATTCCTTCCCTGGAGTTTCAGTTCTAGTGCAGCCCAACCCTCTCAATCTAAGTGAAAAAAGTGCCACACACACAGAAAGAGGAAATGATCAATGAGAGTAAACTTTCAGTAGCTGAGACACCAAATCTCTGAACTCTCAATTCAGAGTTGGAGCCATTGCAGCTTCCTGCTGGTAGCTGGGAGAATTTGTATATTCACTCATCAAACATAGTAGTTAAGCACTTTTTAAAAGACCCTCTGCTAAGAGTAAATGGTAAAGGTGAAACCCTCAATTAATAATGAGTAGTGATAAGCAACTAGGATGATGATCACATTTGCAAACTATGAAGATTTCCCAAACTTCCCTTGTAACATACCCTGCTACCAAAACTTCATGAGATACTAACAAAGGGCAAAGCATGCTCACCTGGGTTCCTCACTTGCCAAATTCCAAACAATAAGAGGTGCAGTAACACGAAAGTGACCTAGATAATTCCTAGACTGGATGATGATACACACGAATTCATTTAAATTGCATTGTTTGAACAGGGAAATTGGAATTCACCACCTGCTCCTGAGGCAAGAGCCCTGGGACCGCTGCAGGGGGCGAAAACCTAGGCGGGAAGAACTCTTTGGGGAGAGACAAGCCTTCTCCCTCGGACTCGGTTGTTCCGGGCCAGTTCAGGAGGATCCCGGGGATGCCGCATTCTTTAGAGGAATTCAGCCTCCCCAGGCGCTCTGGGGGAAGCCCAGGCCAACCGCCCCCAGCCCACCCAGCACTAAAGCACGAGGCGCCTCTGAGGATTGCGCAAAAGCCTCTCCCTCCTCCGCCTGCTCGGTGGCATGTTCCTAAAATTCCCATCTGCACAACATAAACAGGAAACGTGCAGCAAAAGCCCTGGCGGTGCAAATTCCAGGCTTCCAGTCGAGGGCGGGAGAATCTTGTCTTGGGAAGGCGGGTGACAGGGTGGAGGGGCCGTTGAAGGGGCGGGGGGAGGGGAAGCAGCAAAGTTTCCAGGAGACCCCCTCATCTATCCCTATCTCTTCTTCCTAGACCCAGAAAGAAAGAGTGGAGAGGACGGAAGGAAGGAACCCTGCTTTAGGAAAAACAGGGGAGCGGGAGGTGGGCCGCGGAGGGGCAGCCAGGCCTCAAAGTGAAGCACCCCGAGAGGCTGCTGTGACAACGCGCGGTAGGAACACACTGGGCAGCCTTCTCCCAAGATCGGCTGTCCGAGCGGCCCCGGGAGGGTGGGGTGGGCTCTCCGCCGGGGCTTGGGTCACGGAGCCAGCGCGGGTGGGGGCGGGGAGGCAGCGGGCGCTAAGAGCGGCGCAGGCGCAGAGCGCGCTTCGGTTGTCAAACATGGCTGAAGTGCCGCCGCTGCCGCTACTGCTGCTGCAGGGAAAATGCTGAGCCCTCCCGGGCCCGGTGGGCGGCGGCGGCGAGGGCGGCGACGAGCACCTGCTTCTCGGGCGCGGCGGCGGAGGCCATGGCCAGGCTGGCCGACTACTTCATTGTAGTCGGCTACGACCACGAGAAGCCAGGTAAGGGTGTGGGGCGGGCGCCGCCCCCGGGCCTCCCTGCCCCCGCCCCCCGGCTGCCGTCCAGTGGGCTCCTCTGGGCTGGGCATCGCGGCCGGGAGGCGTGGAGGGCCGGTCCCGGCGCCGGTGGAGCTGGCACTCGGCGTCGGGCCTTGATGGCCCGCCGAGCTTCGCGGTGGGCGTGAGGGGCCAGCACGAGGGGCGAGGGAGGAGGAGGAGGAGGCGGCGGCCTCGTTTTCCGGGCCCCGGGCGGCCCAGCTGGGGCGAGTCTGGGTACCGTGGCCCTCGCTCTGAAGAGGGCTGGGTACCAGGGGCATCGCCCGGGTGCCGGCGGGCTTGGGTCAGGACTTCAGAGCTGGGAGGGCGGGAGCCAACTGTGCTAAGTTCCTCGGGGATAAACTTCTGCCCAGCATCCTGAGTGAGTAACGAATGACGCAGGGGGCTGTCCTCTCCGAAAGGAAGTGCTGAGAGTCCAGTGCTACCTCACCCCTGAGCTGGTGGGGGCCCGTCTAGTCACCGCGCCCGTGGACGCATGGTACCGAGAAGAGGGCAAATGATCCTTGAACTTATGAACATTTCTAGGAAATGCTCCTTGTTCTTTCAGGACAAATCTGACGGTCATTTCAAAAGGAGTCTGAATACGATCTTTTAAGTAAGGACCGTCAGCACATCGCTGCAGGTGATCTTGTTTCACTTTAATAAGTGTTTTAATTAGCCTTTCATTCGTCGCAGAATTATCCTCTTAGGCAACAATCTGGCAGCTGTATTTTAATGGAGGGACTTCCACAATTTAAGAGAATTCAAAGTTTATGCACGTTTATTTTTGTATTCATAATGTAATCAGTTGAATTGGGGAAGCACATCTATTTCAGGGTAATTTCAGGGTAATTTACAAGAAATTTAAGGTCTCAGCTAGATAGCCCTTCCTTTTTCAGAGGAGATGCTGAGATTGTGTTTTGCTGATGATTACAGCCATTTGTAGCTTCAGAATACCATTGTTCTTCCCACTCTTAGTCGACTGCCCCTTTCACTATTCCTCTCCTAATAACTTCTTTAGTGGGGACTTTTTATAGTCTTTAGTCTTTAATTATTCTTGACCTGATTGAGATTAGCAAGAGAAGGGTTGGGCTATATTTAAAATATTTTCTGACTACACAAAGTTTTATTTATTTCCTAGTAATTTTGCATAGTCTGCTATCTCTTTCTTACCAAGATTGACAATATGGAGAATCAAAGTTTGTATTTAACATTGTTTCATTTTTAGTGACTTTGAGTTTTTTCTCACTTAAAAAAAATGGAAACAGTAAAAAACTTGCAGAAAACTTGCAAGTATGGTACAAAGGACCTTTTTCTCCCTGAACCATTAAAAAGTGCTGACCTGATGCCTTCCCTATCACCCCAGGTTGTGTATTTTCTACAAACAAAGATATTCCCCTGCATAGTCAGGTGCAATCATCAAAAATCAGGAAATTTACACTGACATAGTACTTCATGTAGTTCTCAGACTGAGACAGTGTATCTCAGATTGGGACTTAAGCCCACCTGCGAGACTGGAACCCAGCGAAAACCCACCATCTGTTAACTGTGATCACACACACCTGGTTTCAGGACTTATGTAGCTCAGGTTCTTGCTGAGTCATCACAGAAAGAATTCAGTGAGAGACAAACTGATAGATAAGTGGATTTATTTAGAGAAACACACTCCACAACCAACCCTGAATATTCATTGTAAGGACTGATGCTGAAACTCCAATACTTTGGTCACGTGATAGAAGAGGCAGTTCATTGGATAAGACTCTGATGCTGGGAAAGATTGAAGGCAAAAGGAGAAGGTGGTGGCAGAGGATGAGATGGTTAGATAGCATCACTGACTCAATGAACATAAACTTGAGCAAACTTTGGGAGATAGTGGAGGACAGCCTGGCATGCTGCAGTCCACAGGGTTACAAAGAATCAAACCCGACTTAGCGAGTGAACAACATACTCCACAAGCAGAGTGTGGGCCATCTCCGAAGAGGAGAACAGCCTTGAATTATGGCTTGGTTAGTTTTTGTGGGCTGGATAAGTTCATAGGCTGATGAGTAGAAGGATGATTCTGTTTTGGGGAAGGGGTGGAAATTTCCAGGAATCGGGCCATTGCTCACTTTTTGGTCTTTGGTGGCTGGCTTCGAAACTGTCGTGGCTCTGGGGAGTGTGTCACTTAGCTTGCTGATGTGTTACAGTGAACGTTACACTGAAGCTCAAGGTGTAGTGGAAGTCAGCTTGTTCGCCATCTTGGACCTATTTGGTTCTAATCTAATCTAATTGTCGTGTCCTCGGGCTGTGCCATTCTTTTAAAGTTTATGCCCTGCCCCCTCCCCTCCTGTTTCAGCACTGGTTCAAGTTTTGTTGATTATGCCATCTCTTTACTGGCAAAAGGATCTGGTTCAGAATCATATATTGCATTTATTTGCTATAGGGCCATCTCATCAGAGGTGAGACAAGCTCTTGGATAGCTTTGGAGCTCAGCTAAGGAATCATACTGATCTTCAGGAGTTTATTGCTTGCATACTTGATGGTGATGAATTTCATTAATTTCTCATTTACTTTCAGTACATGTTTGGCCATATGCTTCATGACTTCTTCAGTCTGAAATGATTCCCTCATTTTCTCTTAATTTTCATAATCTTGACCCTAATGAAGATTGTGTGCATGCATGTTCAGTTGTGTCCAACACTTTACTACTCCATGTACAATAGCCCACCAGGCTCCTCTGTCTATGGAATTTCTCAGTCTAGATTTCTGGAGTGGGTTGCCATTTCCTACTCCAGTGGATCATCCCAGTCCAGGGATTGAACCTGTGTCTGTTGGGTCTCCTGCATTGACTGGTGAGATTACCACTTCCCACCTTGTGGGAAGTTCCTTGTGCAGCTTGTGGAATCTTAGTTCCCCAACCTGTGTCCCCTGTGGTGGATGTATGGAATTTTATCCACTGGACCACCAGAGAATTCCCTAAAGTTAATATTTAATAGTTAATGTTTTTCCTCCAATTAAAATTAAAAAATTAAGAAAAAGAAAAAATAGCTAAATGTTTGTCGTGAGGACTGCTTTGAAACTATGTGTCTTGATCCTCATCAAACAGGTAATGTATTCCTTTTATGCATTTATATCTGTATGGATTCATGGTTTTTTTTTTTTTTTGGCTGGGTTATATTGTTGCTATTTATTTAGTTCTTCAAATTTTCCTCATTCGGGCAACTAGAGCCCATTCAGTCTGGCTTCTTTGTCTTTATGACATGTCTTCACCGCTAGTGTTTGAGTGTTTACTTTGAGTGTTTTTTGGTTTTGTTTTTTACTTTTTGGCATAAGAAGATGCTTTGGGCTTATCCTGTACTGTCCCTGCCTCAGTGCTGGAATCAGCCATTTCTCTAGGGAGACCTGGATTGTTTTAATGATGAATGACATTCAGAAGCTAAGATCTCAGTGCTTGTGTATTTACTGCTGCTGTATTGTTACTGCTCTCAGGCTTTCTTAATGGATGGAGCTGGGGAATATATGTATGTGTACACACAGGTGGCTTAGTGGTTAAGAATCCGCCTGCCAATACAAGGAGATGCAGGAAACAAAGGTTCAATCTCTGAGTTGGGAAGTTCCCATGGAGGAGGAAAATGGCAACCCACTCCAGTATTTTTGCCTGGGTAAATCCCATGGAGAGAGGAGCCTGCAACCTACAGTCCCTGGGTTGCAAAGAGTCGGATATGACTGAGTGATGGAGCACGCATGCATGCACACATGTTTATGTCTATTTATCTATGTATATTAAAAAACTCTGAGGTGGGAGGGGGGATCGGGATGGGGAATACATGTAAATCCATGGCTGATTCATGTCAATATATGACAAAAACCACTATAGTATTGTAAAGTAATTAGCCTCCAACTAATAAAAATAAATGGAAAAAAAAACAAACTCTGAGTTCCTACCAGTACCACTGATTTAAGTCCAACACTCCTGGGTCCACTCAAGTTTTCCCCTTTTTCATATTTGTAATATTCTTTTCTGATAGAAATCTGGCTCCCATTATCCTTAATATGTTTACTTCTTTGTTCAGTCTCCCTGTATTAAACCAGTCTTTCATCTTTGCTACTACCCTCTCCTCTCCTGGATGCCTTGCTCTCTCTGTTGGACTCAGATTCTTCTGTCTCTCCCAGCATCCTGCCCCTGTCAGGACCTAATAGCCCATACTGGGATGTCTCAGTATAGGGACACCCTCCTCAACCAGCTCTGGCTCCAGCTCCCCATGTTATCTTACCCACTGTCTGTGGATATACTTCTTACCCTACTTAGGTTGTGACACACGGCACTGGGCTGCTTCCATTTGAAGGAAGACATCCTCATTCCGTACTCCCCAGTGCCCTATTCCAGGTTACCCCTCTGTTTTGACACCCTCCTTGCAGTGCTTGGACTCTGACTGAACTCATTTCCTTTGGCCTTTCCTTCCCGCATGGAGTACCTTCTTGGGCTGTGATAGCCGCCGCCCCCGCCAGGCTATAATGACTGCTCCGTATCTCACAGCAGAGAAAGGGAAGATTATTTTTTTAAGTAACAAAATCCAGAAGCTTTTTTAAATCGCAGAATCTCGATTGCAAAGTGTATCTTTCTTTTTAACTTGGGATAATTTTGCGACCCCATGGACTGTAGCCTGCCAGGCTCCTCTGTCCATGGAATTTTCCAGGCAAGAATACTGGAGTGGGTTGCCATTTCCTTCTCCAGGGGATCTTTCCAATCCAGGGATCAAACTTGCATTTCATGCATCTTCTGCATTGCAGGCAGAATACTGGAGTGGGTTGCCATTCCCTTCTCCAGGGGATCTTTCCAATCCAGGGATCAAACTTACATCTCATGCATCTTCTGCATCACAGGCAGATTCTTTACCGGGGAAGCCTCAGTTTTTCTTTAGTCATACTTTATGTAAAATTTACATGCAGTAAAATCCACCTTTTAGCTGAACAGTTCAGTGAGTTTA